GAAGTGCTAGCTTGTCAGGGAATTTGATTGACATTGATAAGGTAGCATCATAAACCAGTGAGTGATATACAGTATAGTGTCTGGAAGGGTACATGATTTGAAGTGAAGCGCTAGAAAGACAGAGGCCACAGACAATAGTTTAGCTGGTTGTTTGTCCATGGTCATGGTGGAAAATTCCAAATCTAAAAGGATATTTAGCACTAGCCCGAAACCAAAAACACATTGAGGAGTGAGTTATTCAAATTACTATGTCTATATTAGAGGAACGTAGCGGGAGCGATACTTCGGTGCTACTCCATATGATTCAAGGTTGCTGCGTTTACGTTAGGGGAACGAAGCAGGAGTGATCCTTTGGTGCTACTCAATATGATTCAAGGTTGCTGTGTTTACGTTATTGGAACGTAGTGGGAGTGATAGTTCGGTGCAACTCCACACGATTGTTGCTGCGTTGACATTAGGGGAACGTAGCGAAAGTGATACTTCGGTGCAACTCCCTAAGATTCAAGGTTGCTGCATTCACGATAGGGGAATATAGCAGGATTTAAATGTAGGTGCAACTCCATACGATATGATATGTGGCTCTGTTTACGCCTGGTGAACTGAGCAGGAGTTAACGACTTTGGTGAAACTCCACATGATTATTGCATTTCTATTTCCTTGTGTTGCATGATTAGCCTATGCAAATGGAAGAACCAAGGACACGGATGGTTCCTTGTGTTTGGGATTCTCTGGTGTTTACAGATCATTGACAGATCCCGTGTAGTTTGGGCTGATTCCTCACCGTCTCATGATCATTGCAATCCAGAGGTGAGTCTTGCATGAGCCCAGGCCGAGGGAGGATGACATTATTTGGTTCTTCCATTGCAATAATCGCACCATGTTGTATTCCCACATGTGCTGGCGATGGTTTGTAGCCCATTCCAGCCTTGTGTAGGTCTACAATCTGTCCCGACATCTTGGAGAGCCTTGGTCTTGGCCACGGTGGAGAGTTTGGAATCTGATTGATTGCTTCTGTGGACAGGTGTCTTTTATACAGGTAACAAGCTGAGATTGTATAAATGACACCTGGGAGCCAGAAATCTTTCTGATTGAGAGGGGGTCAAATACTTATTTCCCTCATTAAAATGCAAATCAATTTATAAAAATTTTGACATGAGGTTTTCTGGATTTTGTTGTTGTTATTCTGTTTCTCACTGTTCAAATAAACCTACCATTAAAATGATAGACGGATAATTTCTTTGTCAGTGGACAAACGTACAAAATCAGCAGGGGATCAAATACTTTTTTCCCTCACTGTACATACAATTTGAGAGAGTTTCACTGTATTGTTTAGTGTGATTGTATCCTTAGTTGTAATCTCTATGTGGTGCAATAGTATTACATGGGCAGCAGGGAGTGCTAAAGACAAATAATTAACTTTTCCACAAGATTTAAAAAAAATAGAGATTCCCTGTGGAAATTATCAACAGAATTGTGTGGGTCATATAAAGTTTCCCTGCCCCTGAAGTTCAGTGTGTGTTTTTTTTATAAAGTTCTCATGGCAGAGATCTGAGAGTCTCCCTTGGTCTCAACAGTCCTAAACGCTCCACCAAATCTTGCTGACGTTGGACTAGCTTCCTGCCATCCAGGACCTCTATACCAGGCAGTGTCAGAGGAAGGCCCTCAAAATTGTCAAAGACTCCAGCCACCCTAGTCATAGACTGTTCTCTCTGCTACCGCACGGCAAGCGGTACCGGAGTGCCAAGTCTAGGTCCAAAAGACTTCTCAACAACTTCTACCCCCAAGCCATAAGACTCCTGAACAGCTAATCATGGCTACCCGAACTATTTGCACTGCCTACATAGTATAATACTACCTACAATACTACCTACATAGCTAGATGCACCCCCACCCGACCCAATCTTTTTACGCTGCTGCTACTCTGTTAATTATTTATGCAAAGTCACTTTAACACTACCCACATGTACATATTACCTCAACTACCTCAACTAGCCGGTGCCCCCGCACATTGACTCTGCACCGGTACCCCCCTGTATATATAGCCTCCCTACTGTTATTTTATTTTACTTCTGCTCTTTTTTTCTCAACACATTTTTTGTTGTTGTTTTATTTTACTTTTTTTATTTAAAAAAAAAATGCATTGTTGGTTAAGGGCTGGAAGTAAGCATTTCACTGTAATGTCTACACCTGTTGTATTCGGCGCATGTGGCCAATAAAATTTGAATTTGATTTGATAACGGATGGAGTTAATATGAAACAGATACTGAATATGAATGAGGTAAATGAGAGCTGATGAATGTTATCCCTTATCTCCGTGAAGATTAGATATTTCCCTTGAAGTCCCACCAAGGACAAATAAAATAACACATTTGAAGTGCTAGCTTGTCAGGGAATTTGATTGACATTGATAAGGTAGCATCATAAACCAGTGAGTGATATACAGTATAGTGTCTGGAAGGGTACATGATTTGAAGTTAAGCGCTAGAAAGACAGAGGCCACAGACAATAGTTTTGTTTGGCTGGTTGTTTGTCCATGGCCATGGTGACAAATTCCAAATCTAAAAGGATATTTAGCACTAGCCCGAAATCAAAAACACATTGAGGAGTGAGTTATTAAAATTAATATGTCTATATTAGAGCAACGTAGCGGGAGTGATACTTCGGTGCTACTCCATATGATTCAAGGTTGCTGCGTTTACGTTAGGGGAACGAAGCGGGAGTGATACTTCGGTGCCACTCAATATGATTCAAGGTTGCTGCGTTTACGTTAGTGGAACGTAGTGGGAGTGATAGTTCGGTGCAACTCCACACGATTGTTGCTGTGTTTATGTTAGGGGAACGTAGCGAAAGTGATACTTCGGTGCAACTCCCTAAGATTCAAGGTTTCTGCGTTCACGATAGGGGAACATAGCAGGATTGAAATGTAGGTGCAACTCCATACGATATGAGGCTCTGTTCACGTCTGGTGAACTGAGCAGGAGTTAACGACTTTGGTGAAACTCCACATGATTATTGCATTTCCATTTCCTTGTGTTGCATGATTAGCCTATGCAAATGGAAGAACCAAGGACACGGATGGTTCCTTGATGTTGTGGGATTCTCTCTGGTGTTTACAGAACAACTGAGGGGTATACTACCTACATAGCTAGATGTACCCATGCTTTTCTGAAATTATCTAGCTTCAGATTCCAGCTCAGGCTTCATCCGTACTATGACAGTGGATATTGCTCATCCGCCTGGCGTGCATGTCTCGTTGCAGCCTGCAGCAGCCGCACGTGGCTAGTCGAACGCTGAACTCTTCATTGAGACAATACTGAAACATTAGTCAGTGCCACATTTTTATTTGTTGCCGACTGCCACATTTGTATTTGTTGCCGAAATCATGAAAGAAAAGTTATCTTGCAAAATCAGCAGGCTATGCTGTGAAATAGGCTATTAGAAGTGTTGTCTTTCTTTCATTACCTATCGTTAATGCCGTCTTTGATGTGCTTTGGTGTGCTTATCAATGCACACAGCACCTTTTTCCCCACTCCTATCTATAAAATAATTGTATAATGTCATACAATAGTTTTAGTGTGTGTGAACTTTCAAATGCATCCTGTCATTACTAAGTATGTAATGTGATAGTTATTTAATATAACTATTTTTAACACACAAAAAAACATTTGATTAATAAAATATTGAATCGGTCGTCATTGTCAAATGAAGGTAATGACTACACAATGTTTGCAAGAGGTTGGGAATCTGATTTCTGGATAAATGGAGTTATGGCGAGGTTTACATGGTATGAGGTAGACGGCAAACCGAATGTCATTGTTTTCAATGAGAGCCTGGCGGTGAATGCCGTCAGCCGCCACCTGTAGACGGGACTTGCCGCCAAAATTCACACTTGTGCAGTCTAATGTAGCGCTGTTTTCTACCAGATGTTGATTTGCACTGTTTGTTTTGTGGAATCACCATAGCAACGCATACGGTGCTGGCTTGCTTTTGCCGTCACCATCTTTCTTGCTTTCTTCTCCGGGTATGCGGACTGGTATGATGGTTTTTGCGTCCCTTGTCTAAACGCAACATTAGCCTTGAGTTATGCTGCATTTAGACGATGGACGGCGTTTACCGTCGTGCTCTCATTGAAAACAATGACATCCGGTTTGCCGTCTACCGTCTATTTCGTACCATCTAAACGCAGCATTATCCTGCCCGAAGCAGGTTAGTTCTGAAGCATTCGTTGCCATAGAAATGTACCTGGCTAAAAAATGAGGCACTTTCGTGGTATCAGGTGTCCCTAGTTGAACAAAGTTACCTCGCTAACTCCTCAAACCAGGTACCTAGTATACCCTCTGGTGCTGTGAGATTAGGATATCAGGATTCGAGGTTGCTATGAGATTAGGATAGTTATGTCCTTGTGCTGTTCTTGTCTATCAATGTTATGTATTATGTCATGCTTTATGTTTTGTGTGGACCCCAGGAAGAGTAGCTGCTGCTTTTGCAGTAGCTAATGGGGATGCTAATAAAATAGTAAATACTATCAGGGTATGGTCTCCCTAGAGACTGGAGTTCACTGATGAAAAAGTATATCCTCTCATTTTCTTCTCCATCTTCTAGGTTTCAGATTGATCATGTACCATCCACACTCAAGGTGAAATCCATACTTGTCATTCCCCTTTGTCAATTATTCACTAGAAACTCAGAGAGATGGATGGACAGATGGACGGACAGACAAAACGGACGGACGGACGGACAGGCAGACAAAGTCCATGAACATAACGGCCAAGCAGACAGTCTTGTTTACAACATTCTGGAACTGATTGAATATCTTGCAATCACAATAAAAGAGAGTTCATATACAAGCACAGGATGAAAAATTGGCTGGTAATTACACAGAACATAAAAACATAATCAAACACCATGCAGAAATGTGCTGAGCAAACGTCCATCTAATCAACTAGATACTGTATGATCAGATAAAATGATGAAACTTTGCTATCATGCTGCTGGCACAGGGAAGGGAAATGTGCTCAGGTGTAATGGGAAGGGGGGGAGTCTTTAGGGCTGTAACGGTGCTGGAGTCAGTGTATAGCAACAGCCTGCATACCCAAGGATAGGAGTAAAGTGAAAGACTCAGCTCTGTGTCGTACCCACTATGTTGTGGACAGTGAGTCTCTGCCTGCTGTTGGCCGTGTCCTCTTCAGGAGTACCGCTGGATAGATACAGCACCAAAGGCCAGCATAAAGTACTGCTCATCTCCTTCGATGGCTTCAGGTGGGACTACGACCGCGATGTGGACACGCCGAATCTGGACAGAATGGCCAAGGACGGGGTCAAGGCCAGATATGTGACCCCACCTTACCTCACCATCACCAGTCCCACACACTTCACCCTCCTAACAGGTACCTACTGTAGATCGATACCCAGGCACAACCCTTTTCTACAGGCTCCAAGAGAGCAGTGATTCTGTGGAGGTTCATGTTCATGTCACGGTGGTCCTTTTTTCTCTCCAATTATTGGATCACAAGTCATTCCCAGTTTAGTTTATAAGAATTGTGAATGCGACTGGAAAAAAGGAATTAACTGTAATTCAATGTCCCAGGGTCCAGCAGCTTTCAGAGTTGAGTAAGATGATTATGTTGGGAAGGCTGAAGGAGGAATTTATATTTTCCTTGACAGAAATACTCATTTTTGACTTTTGAATCATCAGTGCCAGTTTAAAAGAAATGTAACTTCCTTGAAATTAAATTCCTTTAATCTCCAGTGTTGGTCTTAAGACCTTGTCCAAGAAGCGTCATGGCACTCACAGGCTATACAGTTGATAGAATTTGTAATGTGAATGTGGCAGACTATGAATATTGAGAGATTGACAGTGACTCTTTTCAGGGCGCTACATTGAGAACCATGGGGTGATCCACAACATGTGGTTCAACATCACCACCAGTGAGAAACTGCCTTACTATGCTACCCAGTTTAAGAATGAGTGGTGGGACAACGGCACTCTACCCATCTGGATCACAGCCCAGAGACAGGTCAGAACAGCAGCACTAGATGGACCTTCATCCTAAATCATTCCTGCATTTGCTTTACAGTAATACAAATGTCTGTGCATATACAGTTGAAGTCAGGAAGTTTACATACACTTAGGTTGGAGTCATTAAAACTCGTTTTTCAACCACTCCACAAATTTCTTGTTAACAAACTATAGTTTTGGCAAGTCGGTTAGGACATCTACTTTGTGCATAACACAAGTAACTTTTTCCAACAATTGTTTACAGACAGATTATTTCACTTATAATTCACTGTATCACAATTCCAGTGGGTCAGAAGTTTACATACACTAAGTTGACTGTGCCTTTAAACAGCTTGGAAAATTCCAGAAAATGATGTCATGGCTTTAAAAGCTTCTGATAGGCTAATTGACATCATTTGACTCAATTGGAGGTGTACCTGTGGATGTATTTCAAGGCCTACCTTCAAACTCAGTGCCTCTTTGCTTGACATCATGGGAAAATCAAAAGAAATCAGCCAAGACCTCAGAAAAATATTGTAGACCTCCACAAGTCTGGTTCATCCTTGGGAGCAATTTCCAAACGCCTGAAGGTCCCACATTCATCTGTACAAACAATAGTACGCAAGTACAAACACCATGGGACCACGCAGCCGTCATACCGCTCAGGAAGGAGACGCGTTCTGTCTCCTATAGATGAACGTACTTTGGTGCGAAAAGTGCAAATCAATCCCAGAACAACAGCAAAAGACCTTGTGAAGATGCTGGAGGAAACAGGTACAAAAGTATCTATATCCACAGTAAAATGAGTCCTATATCGACATAACCTGAAAGGCCGCTCAGCAAGGAAGAAGCCACTGCTCCAAAACCGCCATAAAAAAGCCAGACTACGGTTTGCAACTGCACATGGGGACAAAGATTGTACTTTTTGGAGAAATGTCCTCTGGTCTGATGAAACAAAAATAGAACTGTTTGGCCATAATGACCATCGTTATGTTTGGAGGAAAAAAGGTGTGCGAGCAAGGAGGCCTACAAACCTGACTCAGTTACACCAGCTCTGTCAGGAGGAATGGGCCAAAATTCACCCAACTTATTGCGGGAAGCTTGTGGAAGGCTACCCGAAACGTTTGACCCAAGTTAAACAATTTAAAGGCAATGCTACCAAATACTAATTGAGTGTATGTAAACTTCTGACCCACTGGGAATGCTGAAATAAATCATTCTCTCTACTATTATTCTGACATTTCACATTCTTAAAATAAAGTGGTGATCCTAACTGACCTAAGACAGGGCATTTTTACTAGGATTAAATGTCAGGAATTGTGAAATACTAAGTTTAAATGTATTTGGCTAAGGTGTATGTAAACTTCCGACTTCAACTGTATGCATGTACTGTGTGTGTGTGTGTGTGTGTGGACGTGTTTAACTATACTTGTGGGACCAGAAGTCCCCACAAGAATAGTAAACCAAGAGAAATTTGACCAACTGGGGACATTTTGTTGGTCCCCATAAGGTCAAATGCTATTTCTAGGGGGTTTAGGGTAAAGGTTAGAATTAGAGTTAGGGTTAGAATTAGGGTTAGGGTTAGGGTTAGGAGATAGGGTTAGGAGCTAGGGTTAGGGTTAAGGTTAGGTTTTTGGGTTACGGTTAGGGTTAGGGTTAGGGGTTAGGGAAAATAGGATTTTGAATGGGACTGAATTGTATGTCCCCACAAGGTTAGCTGCGCAAGACTGTGTGTGTGTGTGTGTGTGTGTGAGACCTCTCTTCATCCTAATTTTGTCCGTACAGGGCCTGAGGGCTGGCTCTCTTCACTTTCCTGGCACGCAATCCACCTACCAGGGAGAGACCCAGACGGTGAAGGATGTGGAACCACGGTTTTATGACTACAAAAATGAGACTAAATGGAGAGAGAACGTAGAGAAGGTGATGGGCACCTGGTTCAGTGAGATGGACCTGGACTTTGTGTCACTGTATTTCGGGGAGCCTGATGGCACAGGCCACAAATACGGGCCTGATTCCCCTGAGCGGAGGGAGATGGTCAAGCAGGTGGACAGAACAGTGGGCTTCATCCGCAGCTTGGCTGAACGAAAAGGACTTGCCGATAGTCTCAACATCATCATCACCGCTGACCACGGCATGAGCAATGTGTACCGCAACGGCCTGGTGAAGGAGATCACCCTTTCCAGGATCCCCGGATTCTCCTTCAGAGATATAGCATTTCACCTGGTGGACTTTGGGCCCTCTGGGATGCTGCTTCCCAAGGAGGGCATGCTGGATAAGGTCTACAACGCCCTGAAGGGGGCGAACCCTCACCTTCATGTCTTCAAGAAGGAGGAGATGCCTGAGCGTCTTCATTTTGCTAATAACAACCGCATCCTACCCATCATTCTCTTCTCTGACCCTGGATATGTCATCAACGGGGTGGGTTCATAGCATGTCTCTATAGTATTTTGTAATAGTTGTTTGCTTAAACAAATTAAGACGTTTTTGTTAAGGGTTTCCGTCACGCACAGAACCAATTTCATGCACACAAAAAGTGAAATGAAGGCATACTTTAACTTTTGTGAGACTAAACATGCATATTGTTGTAGACTTTCCAATTCCATGCTTTACTGTGAATTACTGATTAGAGGATTGGCCTCAGTGAACATAGTATGAGCAAAGAAGCTGGTTTAAAAATAACCATGCAGCCTATACAGTATATCTTCAGGCATCTAGAATATTCTATCACTTCTATAATATACAGTACAGTATGGCACATCCTCATGCATCCTCCTGCATGCATTATGAGTATTCTGATAACATGCCATATTTCAATGGACTACAAACATTGAAGGAATTACCAAGTGAATTTGGCTTGTAGCGATGGAGAAAATGGAATATTTTAGACCGGAAAACTCTAATCTTAATACATTACAATTTTAATCAAGTGCATTACCACCTTCCCAGGATAATCCAGGTTTGGCTGATGGCATGCAGAGCTCTCTAATTCTTCATGAAGCTATTCATGCCACAAAATTCAACATTAGCATTTACATTTGGCTCAACCCTGCTGCCTGCAACTTTACCACTGAAAGTGCTACATCACTCCATTGAGTGATACTAAATTTGATTCTCAATTTTGCATACGAGAGATGGCCACTACACATCAACATACTGTAAAACAGAAATAGCAAAATGGCTAAATTACAAATGTCTTCAAATGCTATACTGACAGTAACCCACCAGAGGTACTGATTACACATGAACGCATATAAACTCATTGAAGGCTGTGGTTACAGTGAGGGTATCTGGTGGAGTTCAGTTGACCTTCAGTGTAATATCTGATTATCAAAATACACAAGTTCAGGGTATTTGACCCTCTTGTGTTATCTCCTGTTTATGGACCCTTTGTTTAGAAATTTCAAAAGATGCTCCTCTCAGTTTTATCAAAGCAAATGTTATGCATGTTCAGAGAAGGGTTACGTAACATCTATGATAATTAGCCTACCTTCTCCCTGTGTATCTAAATATATCAGTGTATTTTCTGTGAACAAAGTGAAGATTAAAAATGTGTCTGTGTAACTGTATCGCTTGCTATTCATACAATCCATCGTAATATCAATTTCATGATCAAAGTAGTCATCCTGAATGACCAAAGGAACTATGTGATGTTTAGGCCTCTTTAGTTTATGAAAGGATTCCCTCTTAACCTGGTTAACAACAGTCATTTTAACAGTATGCGTCTAATAATGGAGAACAGGGAAATTCTCCCGTCTCTGTTCTTATAAGCACTGAGCAGATTTCATGGTTGCTCAAGCAACACTTTCCTTCAGTTGGTCAACATCTCCCTCTGCTGTCCAGTTGAGAGTACATCATAGAAAGACAAGTTGGACTTCAGGCTTCCCATTATGATGATCAATATGAATTTCAACATTCTGATCATTCATGATTTCACTTCTCTTACTCTAAATGGAGTCCTACAGATTTGATCACCCTGACTCTTCTTGGCTATTTGTCTCTACAGTTCCTCCCAGTGCAGTTCAACACAGGGGAGCATGGCTTTGACAACGAAGAAATGGACATGAAGCCCTTCTTCAGGGCTGTGGGGCCGGTGTTCCAAAAGAACCTGGAGGTGGGCCCCTTTGAGACAGTGAACATATACCCCTTGATGTGTCACATACTGGGCATCAAGCCTGATCCCAACGATGGCCACCTGGATGCCACAAAACACATGCTGATCTCTACCACAGAGGGTGAGTTTATATCAGGCTAATGACTCTGCACTCCCTATGGCCCACAAAGTGTGTTCCTCCAACACCTGCTCCTTCATTACACAGCCAAAGTAATCTATGGTCTAACGTAATGTATATAGAATGTACAAATATGCAACACATAACAGAAATTATAAAATTGGATAAAAATTAGATGAATAATGTCTGTATTGTCTTTCAGACACATCCATGTACACAAATCAAACGATATTACATTTGCATTACGGCTTGTATTTCAGACCTCCGTCAGGACATAAAATCAAATATCTTTATTGGATTGGCAGCAGTGGCTGGATTTCTTGTTGTGGTCTTCATAGCGCTTGTGTCATTTAATGCATTCAAGAAGGAGACAAATAATAGAAGGTATGTATGTCTGCATATGTACACAAATCAATGGGAATTGGAAAATGTGAAGAAGACTTGCCTGAACAATCTGATATATAGAAATGTGTGTAATGTACCTAAGGGGTGTTTTCCCCTTGGATACCAATTTGCGAGCATGTAATAACTGATACAGGCTCAGATATTTGTTTTATTCTCCTAATGGTTAAAGGGCAAAACAAGTAAATGTGTTTTTGGGATGCTTGATCCTAGTTCTGTAGTTAAGGGCAACTGATACCTCAAACATACAGTATTAAAATAAACAAGCAGAAGGATATTTGCCCACTGGCGAGTAAATAGTGTTCCAAAAAATGTTGCTATAAATGCTTTATTTATTTTGTTTACTGCCAATGTTGGATTCCGTCAGTCTCTCAGCTTCTGACACTGTTTCTTCCTCTGCCATAACTCAAGACAATAATGGACTGATTGGAAGCGTTCTATAGTCAAGGTGTAATCCCTAGAGACAGGTAAACAAACTGAACGATTCGAGCAGTGGAAACAATCTGTAAGGGGTAAAAATAAAAAGGACATGTCAAGTGCTCTATCTGTATGTTAATACACTTGATGGTCAGGCTAGATATGGGCTGTCAATTAGGGACAGAGACTCAGATGTTTTGCATGCTGGCTGAGCTCCGGATTGATCTCAATCTGTTCAAGTCCTGTTGCTGATTGTAACCAGCGGGATACTGACTCTGCAGAGGCCTAATTGGATAACATGGTGCAGATAGGCTACATAAAGTTATAGTTCTGTAAACCTGAATGTTTGGGTATTCATGGTTTAAACATCTCATACTTTTAAGTCATGCCACTGGTTTAGTCCTCACACTGAATGTGAAATTTACATTTTAGTCAACATAATCAAAGTCTAGCTTATTGCATGGTAGTGAATGATATATCAAGAAAGGGCTGTATTTCTGTGCCTGCCTGCCTGCCTGCATTGAGGATTCCTAACTTATTCCCAATTGTCCAGAACGTATCATTCTTTCCTATGTTTCAGCTCTGAGAAGTCACTGCCTCCAGGAGGAAAGGAAGAGACACACCAAACTGCCCTTTAAACTGAACCCCAAGTGAAATCATTTGCCACTGACATCTGAAATGGATAAACAAAGGGACATCACTACTTATGACATTATTATGGACATACTCTCTAAAAACAACCTTATCACAGACTAGTGCGCCCTCTCCATGTTGAGACTGACACCATGCAGACTGATCAGATATGTTTTTTTCCTTGTGAATGTAAGCCCATACAGTCACCATGCCACCTGGGACAACTTATGCTTTAGCAATTTGCTAAAAGGATGTATTCTCTAAACAACTGATTGGTGTCATGATACACTGATGAGATCAGTAGACTACAGCTACAGTAAAATAATACACAGCTAATCTGAAACTAAATCTCTGGACAAAACACCAGTTCAAAAACTTGACAAATTGTATACTCTGTGTGACAGCAGTGCAGACATGCATTTTATGAAAGTTGTGTTTAATTATAAATCTATTTATCTGATTTACAAGTTATCTTTTTTGAAATCCTGACCATGAACAAAATAATTGTTTGTGGTTTTGTTCTGGATGGCAGTGAGTGAGTGAGTGAGTGAGTGAGTGAGTGAGTGAGTGAGTGAGTGAGTGAGTGAGTGAGTGAATGGACCTATTCCAGGTTTGTGTATGAATAAGTTATATAAATAAAGGAATGGAAATACCTTTCAACATTCTGTTTAGGAAAACGTCCTGTTCATTAACACATACAGTGGCTTGCGAAAGTATTCACCCCCCCTTGGCATTTTTCCTATTTTGGTACCTTACAACCTGATTTTTGGGGGGTTTGTATCATTTGATTTACACAACATGCCTACCACTTTGAAGATGCCAAATATTTTTTATTGTGAAACAAACAAGAAATAAGACCAAAAAAAAGAAAACTTGAGCGTGTGTAACTATTCACCCCAGCTCCAGCTCCTTCAAGTTGGATAGGTTCCGCTGGTGTACAGCAATCTTTAAGTCATACCACAGATTCTCAATTTGATTGAGGTCTGGGCTTTGACTAGGCCATTCCAAGACATTTAAATGTTTCCCCTTAAACCACTCAAGTGTTTTTTTTTTTTTTTTTTATTTTTTATTTAGGGGGTAGATCAGCTTTAATATTTCAGATAGATAGTAACTTCCATCAATGTAATTGTCTGCATCACTTCCAATCCCCCATATGTTTTTTTTTCTCGCAAATATATAGGGCGGCAGGTAGCTTAGTGGTTAAGAGCGTTGTGCCAGTAACCGAAAGGTTGCTGGTTCTAATCCCCGAGCCGACTAGGTGAAAAATCTGTCGATGTGCCCTTGAGCAAGGCACTTAACCCTAATTGCTCATGTAAGTCGTTCTGGATAAGAGCGTCAGCTAAATGACAAAAAAAAATATATATATATACATACAGTGGGGAGAACAAGTATTTGATACACTGCCAATTTTGCAGGTTTTCCTACTTACAAAGCATGTAGAGGTCTGTAATTTTTATCATAGGTACACTTCAACTGTGAGAGACGGAATCTAAAACAAAAATCCAGAAAATCACATTGTATGATTTTTAAGTAATTAATTTGCATTTTATTGCATGACATAAGTATTTGATCACCTACCAACCAGTAAGAATTCCGGCTCTCACAGACCTGTTAGTTTTTCTTTAAGAAGCCCTCCTGTTCTCCACTCATTACCTTTATTAACTGCACCTGTTTGAACTTGTTACCTGTATAAAAGACACCTGTCCACACACTCAATCAAACAGACTCCAACCTCTCCACAATGGCCAAGACCAGAGAGCTGTGTAAGGACATCAGGGATAAAATTGTAGACCTGCACAAGGCTGGGATGGGCTACAGGACAATAGGCAAGCAGCATGGTGAGAAGGCAACAACTGTTGGCGCAATTATTAGAAAATGGAAGAAGTTCAAGATGACGGTCAATCACCCTCGGTCTGGGGCTCCATGCAAGATCTCACCTCGTGGGGCATCAATGATCATGAGGAAGGTGAGGGATCAGCCCAGAACTACACGGCAGGACCTGGTCAATGACCTGAAGAGAGCTGGGACCACAGTCTCAAAGAAAACCATTAGTAACACACTACGCCGTCATGGATTAAAATCCTGCAGCGCACGCAAGGTCCCCCTGCTCAAGCCAGCGCATGTCCAGGCCCGTCTGAAGTTTGCCAATGACCATCTGGATGATCCAGAGGAGGAATGGGAGAAGGTCATGTGGTCTGATGAGACAAAAATAGAGCTTTTTGGTCTAAACTCCACTCGCCGTGTTTGGAGGAAGAAGAAGGATGAGTACAACCCCAAGAACACCATCCCAACCGTGAAGCATGGAGGTGGAAACATCATTCTTTGGGGATGCTTTTCTGCAAAGGGGACAGGACGACTGCACCGTATTGAGGGGAGGATGGATGGGGCCATGTATCGCGAGATCTTGGCCAACAACCTCCTTCCCTCAGTAAGAGCATTGAAGATGGGTCGTGGCTGGGTCTTCCAGCATGACAACGACCCGAAACACACAGCTAGGGCAACTAAGGAGTGGCTCCGTAAGAAGCATCTCAAGGTCCTGGAGTGGCCTAGCCAGTCTCCAGACTTGAACCCAATAGAAAATCTTTGGAGGGAGCTGAAAGTCCGTATTGCCCAGCGACAGCCCCGAAACCTGAAGGATCTGGAGAAGGTCTGTATGGAGGAGTGGGCCAAAATCCCTGCTGCAGTGTGTGCAAACCTGGTCAAGACCTACAGGAAACGTATGATCTCTAATTGCAAACAAAGGTTTCTGTACCAAATATTAAGTTCTGCTTTTCTGATGTATCAAATACTTATGTCATGCAATAAAATGCTAATTAATTACTTACAAATCATACAATGTGATTTTCTGGATTTTTGTTTTAGATTCCGTCTCTCACAGTTGAAGTGTACTGGCTGTGTGTTTCGGGTCGTTGTCATGCTGGAAAACCCACCCAAGATCTCGCGATACATGGCCCCATCCATCCTCCCCTCAATACGGTGCAGTCGTCCTGTCCCCTTTGCAGAAAAGCATCCCCAAAGAATGATGTTTCCACCTCCATGCTTCACGGTTGGGATGGTGTTCTTGGGGTTGTACTCATCCTTCTTCTTCCTCCAAACACGGCGAGTGGAGTTTAGACCAAAAAGCTCTATTTTTGTCTCATCAGACCACATGACCTTCTCCCATTCCTCCTCTGGATCATCCAGATGGTCATTGGCAAACTTCAGACGGGCCTGGACATGCGCTGGCTTGAGCAGGGGGACCTTGCGTGCGCTGCAGGATTTTAATCCATGACGGCGTAGTGTGTTACTAATGGTTTTCTTTGAGACTGTGGTCCCAGCTCTCTTCAGGTCATTGACCAGGTCCTGCCGTGTAGTTCTGGGCTGATCCCTCACCTTCCTCATGATCATTGATGCCCCACGAGGTGAGATCTTGCATGGAACCCCAGACTGAGGGTGATTGACCGTCATCTTGAACTTCTTCCATTTTCTAATAATTGCGCCAACAGTTGTTGCCTTCTCGCCTATTGTCCTGTAGCCCATCCCAGCCTTGTGCAGGTCTACAATTTTATCCCTGATGTCCTTACACAGCTCTCTGGTCTTGGCCATTGTAGAGAGGTTGGAGTCTGTTTGATTGAGTGTGTGGACAGGTGTATTTTATACAGGTAACGAGTTCAAACAGGTGCAGTTAATACAGGTAATGTGTGGAGAACAGGAGGACTTCTTAAAGAAAAACTAACAGGTCTGTGAGAGCCGGAATTCTTACTGGTTGGTAGGTGATCAAATACTTATGTCATGCAATAAAATGCAAATTAATTAGTTAAAAATCATACAATGTGATTTTCAGGATTTTTGTTTTAGATTCCATCTCTCACAGTTGAAGTGTACCTATGATAAAAAATTACAGACCTCTACATGCTTTGTAAGTAGGAAAACCTGCAAAATCGGCAGTGTATCAAATACTTGTTCTCCCCACTGTATATATATATATATATATATATATATATAAGGGAAGTAGGTGGCGGTAATGCACCATAACGGAATAAACTCTCTCCCTTCAGTCTTCCTCTCTGTTGTGGTTTATTGATAGAGCCCCACAGTGGAGGTGTCATAATACCCATAAAACCTAGCGGTCAAACAAGGAAATGGTTCCAATCGTTTTCCACCATTCATTTTTCCCATAGTTTTTATTTTTTAGAAACACTTGAAATAAGGGTTGTGTTTTGTGTAGGCTTACCCTGGCGTGACGTTTTGATAAACGTGTAACTCTCTCTAGGACAAGGTGACTTTTATCAATATATTCGCCTGTATCCCCCCCCCAAAAAAAAAAAAAATATGAAATGCTAATTAGCTGCTAATGTGGCTATCATAAAGACCTACAAATGCCATGATGATCTGGACGAGACTGCCGAATTGAGGCAAAGGTAAGAATCTCTGGATTAACTATCTAATGTTAACTAAATGTAGTAATTAATAAATTGCCAACATTTCTTTAAATTGACAATTCTGTGAACTGTCTTGTGCAAGTTTTAAATTGACACAATACCTGTTAGCGAAGGTGTCTGCTAGAGATTATGTGCATGAGCTTGAAGGGCTTTGTAGTCTTGCATGATGTCTACTTTGATGCTAATTAGCATTTTCGAATCTGAGAGTAAATAGAGCCGAATATATTGATAAAAGTCACCTTGTCCGAGAGAGATTTACATGGTTATCAAAACGTAATGCCAAGGTAAGCCTACACGAAACACAGCCCTTATTTTAAGTGTTACCTGGGGCGGCAGGTAGCTTAGTGGTTAAGAGCGTTGTGCCAGTAACCGAAAGGTTGCTGGTTCTAATCCCCGAGCCGACTAGGTGAAAAATCTGTCAATGTGCCCTTGAGCAAGGCATTTAACCCCAATTGCTCCTGTAAGTCGCTCTGGATAAGAGCGTCTGCTAAATGACTAAAATGTAAATGTGTTTCTAAAATCCCCTATGGGAAAAATGAATGGTGGGGAAATGATTGGAACAATTTCCCTGTTTGACCGCTAGGTCACCTCCACTGTGGGGCTCTATCAATAAACTACAACAGAGAGGAAGACTGAAGGGAGAGAGTTTATTCCACCCAAAATCTGTCCACGAAAATAGGCCACGAAGTGAGGAATTTTTGCATGGGGGTCAATGAGTGTCCAATTTGGTCAACAAAAAATGTAATTGCTAATTTGCTACATGAGACTTATTTGATCTAATAGAAGTTTCATAATGGTTAGGTTGTTAGGAATTCACTGATATAAGTGGAAGCACGTGGCATTTCAGAAACAACAAAAAAATTAAACGACTTCATAGTGTTGTTCAGACACGTATCTGCCCTTCCATTGGCTAGAATGGTCCCAACTGATCTCGCCTCCGCCCTCCTCCCGCCTGCCTTCTATCTTTGAGGACATGTATTTCCACTGTTAGAGCGGTCACTCGACTATCTTGTCAGTATAATAGAAAATCTTTGACCGCAATATGTGAAAACGATTTGATTGGTCACACGTCGAGGTGTGACGTTTACAGGGACGGTATCTGCCATGGGACAAGCTTCAAGAATGCGTTTTTTTTCCGCCCTCTTTTCCATTCTTTTCATAAAATACTTTAGAGTAGGCAATAGCGAACATGGAGGAATTGAGCGCCGTAGGAGAACAGGTTTTCGATGCTGAATGCATCCTCAACAAACGACTAAGAAAGGTTAGATGTTGTGAAATATAATTTTCTCATATCCAAAATATTTGCTGCTCACAGTTTGGTAACGTTTCCCCTCTCTATTTCCGCAGGGAAAGTTGGAGTTTCTTGTAAAGTGGAGGGGATGGTCATCCAAGTAAGTACAAGTGGTGCTGCAGCTGCGAGGGCAGCCTCAAACAATGAAAACAACAACAACGTGTCGGTTTTTGCTTCACTGTTGTAGTAAAATGATTCATACAGTCCCTAACTTCGCTCAAAAACATGCTGCCCGTGAAACCGAGAAATTCAGGTTTTACGCTTGCCTCCTGCTATTGTTGTTGGTTTTAACTTTTGGAAATTAACCTTGTTAGTTATGCAAAACAAACAGATCGTTTAGGGTCTCTCATATTCAATATGCTGGTTTGTCTGTTTTACATTAGGCTACACAAACTAGGCTATAGAAACTCTCAAATTTGATCAGTCGCTTACTGGATCTCTAGCTAATGGTTTATCAATCTAGCTTTATATTATATGCTTTATTGATAAATAAATTACAAGTAGGAGTTGGTAGAAGTTTGAGATGGGAAACGCATGCCGAGTCTCTCACACATCCCACAAATAAAGTGTCAATTTGCTACACTTTCCTACTCTTTGAGATGGTTGTTTAAATGTATATTATCATGTGGTAGTTTATTTAATGCCTAACGTGACTCGGTAGTATACATTGAATTTCCGTGAATCAGTCTTTCTCCCCTTTCGAGCGCTCCAGCTGCCTGCGCGTCCTTGCCACGGTTGCCCTTTCCCTTGTCCCTTCTGTTTCATTGTTGCAATTAATCCCATCATCAATGGGCATTCTGCCTGTCACTCACACCCCGTTCTTAACCCAAATCCTCACATTGCTGTCGGATTCTGCCAGCGCCGTCGACTTGGTCAAATGTTATTTACTTGTGATATAAACACGTAAAATTGGCCGGTGGAAATGATATTGTTTGCCAATTCGCGATCTCTTTCTACATTAACTCAGTATTGGCCCTCTTGAGATTCACTGAATCATGTGAAGGCGGCAGATCCTACACACTTGGCTTTGAATAAACTTCTCTCCTTCTTATCTTCCCCCTTTGCTATGTGGTTAAGCCTCCCACTCACAGCTCTTTGCATATGCCTCCTATCTCTACACTAGGTTACACTAGGCCTCCTTTCTCTAATCACTATGTTGGTTACACTGTCCTCCTATCTCTACACAGTCACTAGGGTATAGGTTATACTAGGTTTTCTTTCACCAAGAAGTAAGTGCCACCTGCAATGTAGATATTAAGTGATTTTAGTGTGTTGATGAACATATTTTCCTTTTGCGTCAGGCACAATAGCTGGGAGCCCCAAGCGAACATCCTTGACCCAAGATTATTGGCTGCATTTAACAAGAGGTGAGTTTCTCTTTGTCCAGGACCTCACTGAGTGAGCTATCCCCTATATCCAAACAATGCCCACTGAAATGCTCCAGCAGGCATTAATAGTGCACCATTCAAGCCAATGTGGAGCCCACAGATATGCATACGATCTGTGTTTTCAGGCTGTAAGCACATCGATAAGCCTATTTAAAATCAAATCACATTTTATTGGTCACATGCGCCGAAAACAACAGGTGCAGACATTACAGTGAAATGCTTACTTACAGCCCTTAACCAACAGTGCATTTATTTTTAACAAAAAAAGTAAAAATAAAACAACAACAAAAAAAGTGTTGAGAAAAAAAGAGCAGAAGTAAAATAAAATAACAGTAGTGAGGCTATATATACAGGGGGGTACCGGTGCAGAGTCAATGTGCGGGGGCACCGGCTAGTTGAGGTAGTTGAAGTAATATGTACATGTGGGTAGAGTTAAAGTGACTATGCATAAATAATTAACAGAGTAGCAGCAGCGTAAAAAGGATGGGGTGGGGGGGCAGTGCAAATAGTCCGGGTAGCCATGATTAGCTGTTCAGGAGTCTTATGGCTTGGGGGTAGAAGCTGTTGAGAAGTCTTTTGGACCTAGACTTTGCACTCCGGTACCGCTTGCCGTGCGGTGGCAGAGAGAACAGTCTATGACTAGGGTGGCTGGAGTCTTTGACAATTTTGAGGGCCTTCCTCTGACACCGCCTGGTATAGAGGTCCTGGATGGCAGGAAGCTTGGCCCCAGTGATGTACTGGGCCGTACGCACTACTCTCTGTAGTGCCTTGCGGTCGGAGGCCAAGCAGTTGCCATACCAGGCGGTGATGCAACCAGTCAGGATGCTCTCGATGGTGCAGCTGTATAATTTTTTGAGGATCTGAGGACCCATGCCAAATCTTTTCAGTCTCCTGAGGGGGAATAGGCTTTGTCGTGCCCTCTTCACGACTGTCTTGGTGTGTTTGGACCATGATAGTTCGTTGGTGATGTGGACACCAAGGAACTTGAAGCTCTCAACCTGTTCCACTACAGCCCTGTCGATGAGAATGGGGGCGTGCTCAGTCCTCTTTTTTTTTTTTCCTGTAGTCCACAATCATCTCCTTTGTCTTGGTCACGTTGAGGGAGAGCTTGTTGTCCTGGCACCACACGGCCAGGTCTCTGACCTCCTCCCTATTTAGGATATGAGTTTAGGTTTTCCCAACCCTTCAACTTTTATTTAACAGGCATTCTGTTCAATATACATTTGATATAAAAATACATGAAACATTTTGTATTGGTAAGGGGTAAAATAATGCATTTGTAAAAAGAAAGAAAGTCATAAGTGCCAGTTAATCTTAACTGAAGCAGGGAAAATATTTCATTTCAGATGTATACTTTACTTTGCAAACATCCATTTGTAGAAGGACAACAATGCTATACAAGAATATACAGCAGGAAGTGAAGGGGTGGAACAAAAACAGGAACCACATTTCCAAAAGTGAAAGCGTATCTAATGTTTTCAGATGAGCATCTGGGGAATTTTATTGCCAACCTCTGATTTGTTTTTGCCAAGCATTGGGCGTTTCAAGACCAGACAATACTTCACGAGATGTTACTGACTTGCCATGAGCACACAGTCCTCAGATGTCTCTGTCAAGAAGACGGCTACAAGTCTAAGGTTCACAGTGTATATGTTTGGTGATAGAATACCCTCTCCTCGGATGGTTGCAAAACCCTCAACAGTGCTCGCTCTCTATCCTTGACTCCTGCTCTCTACTTCTACCATAACTACTGCTGAAGACTGTTTCCTATTTTTTGTTTTTACAGTGAACAAGAAAAGGACATTCTGATCTGCAAGAGAGGGAAAAGGCCAAGGGGGAGACCTCGAAAAGTTGTGGTATGCTTTCCTCAAGACCTTTACAAATATTGATAATATTTTCTACCAAATATATCATAAATGTAATGTAATATCACTGCTCTCGTCCTCATTTCAGGAAACTGTGCCTGAAGTGTCAAAGTCAAGCAGCTCTTCTTCATCGTCGTCATCTTCGTCTGGCTCATCATCGTCATCTTCGTCTTCCTCCTCTTCCTCCTCATCAGATGATGACGACGATGATGACAACAACGATAGAAAGGCAAAGTCAGGTCCCAGAACACGAGAGCTCCACCCCTGTCCCTCAGAAGAAAGCACAGATTATTGTGGCCAAGCCAGAGCCCCCGAGGAAGAAGCGAGGCAGGAAAGCACTGCCTGCAGAGATGAAGGCCATCCAACAGAACAAGGGCCAGCGCAAGATCATAAAGACAGTTGCCAAAGACTCCCCTGCAGACCTACGAGGTGGAATCAAGAAACCCTTTCACCCACCCAGCTTCACCTTCATGGGGTTGAACAGCAGAGGCCCTCTGAGTGTCCAGGGCAGATGTTCCCTGGCCCAGGGTGGGACTACTAAAAACTCCATGAACACTGCGGGCTCTGGCCGGTCAAATACCTCAGCTTCTCCCTCTATCAACCAGAGATCCAACCAGAGCAAGAGTCAAGCTTCTGGCTTCAAACTGTCGGTCTCTGATGTGGGCAGTGGAGCAGGTTTGGACTTAAAAACAACTGCAAGCAAATCTCCTGGAGTAGCAGCGTTGAATTTGCATAACTCCAAACTCTTAACCAGCAATGGCAACCCACAAGGAGCTTCTCCGCCACCACTGGGTTCTCCCCAACAGGCAGAAGAAACCAGATGCCCCTGGGCAAACACCACTGCAGCAGGTACCTAATAACAAAGCTGCTGCCCCTTTCTCCACTCCTAAAGGCCCTGCCAACCAAGCTGCAAGCCTTCAGGCACTAAACCTTCAGAGTGTGAACAAATCAACACAAGGCAAAGGTACTCCTAGCAGTGGCATCGCGCCAGTGTCCAACCTGCAAAGCACCGCCAACCCAGCACGGAAAGCCACAGTTGGTCAGTGTGGTCAAGAGCAAAATCTTGTGCAGAGTCCTGCCATGCCTGGTGGACAACAGCCCAGAAAGAGTCAGCCTGGAGTTGATAAGATCAAAGCTGAGGAGACCAGTGAAGTGGGTGCCAAGGCAGAGAGGCCTGAGAGGCTGACTACAACAAGGGCCCAAAGGAGGGTTGAGAAGAGCAGTGTCCAGAACCCCTCCGCAGAGGCCAGAGACATCCAGGGCAAGCGGAAGAGATCTGCCTCCAAAGACAGTGGCAAGCAGGCCAAGGTCCTCCTGAGTGAGATGAGCACTGGCGAGGAGAGCACCTCAGACTCTGACCAGGATTCCCCCTACCCAAGTAACGGTCAGGACTTGGCCATCTCAGTCCAGACCGGCCAGGACTGGAAGCCCACTCACAGCCTGATCGAGCATGTGTTTGTCACTGACGTCACTGCCAACCTGGTCACTGTCACAGTCAAGGAGTCCCCAACCAGTGTGGGCTTCTTCAACATACATAATTATTGACTGAATGCCGGTAATTGAGCTGCCTAGCAAAGGGGCTGCAAAGTAGACAGCAGAGGCCTTAAGTGGGGTATTGAATGAAGTATATAAGTTAGAGCAGTGTTAATGCACATAGGTTTGCTGCAGTGATGCAAAGTTTCCCCTTCTCTACAATGTATTAATCTGAAATCTGCAGACTTAAACTGTGTTCGAATACCCATACTAACATACTGTATACTACATACTTAATGAGTATATACTATTAGTTCATTTTAGTATACTGTAAACGAATGGTATCCTTTCAGTTGAGTGTACTAGCGCTTCGCCTGTCTACCGGAAGTTGATGCTGTTGCTATGCAACCTCTTGCTAGCTTGTTAGCATAAATTACTAGCTATACATTTTACGACTTCGGGTGTGTTCGTAAATTCAATCTGGAGTGCGCTCTGGGCGTTCGTAAATTCAGAGCGTTGTCAGATTGTCCGTTCGTAAATTCAGAGTGTTCAGAGTGAAACACTGGACGCTCTGGCCGAGGAGTAGGGTTGATCTGAGCATTCTGACCTCACAACAGCAGTCAAGCACCCAAGCTTTGACTTAGCTTGCTAGCTAGTCAAGCACCCAAGTAGCTTGCTAGCTACTTCCAGACACAAATGAGAGAACACCTCACTCTGACCTTTTTTACTCGCACTAGCAGAGCTGGTTAGGCTGTTTTTATGTTATCCAGAGCGTTGGTGACTGTAACTGTGCTGCTGGCAACAATTTAATTATGCTTTTTTGCCGACGTTTACTGGCACACTCAGACAAGAGTGCTCTGAAATCGGAGTAGATAGCCAGAGCGAATTAACAATGACCATTGAGAACGCACAACGACTATACCACTTAGCTAAGCTAAGAATGACATGTAGTTAATATACTGGCAAGTTTGATGTATTAGTAGCCAAATAACGTTCGGTAGCTAGCTAACATACCGGTACTTACTGCTGTAACTATATGCTGCGATTCGTAAGGATAGCGTAGCTAACAAATTGTCAGCCAACATAATGTGTAATGTAACTTATTTGAAAAGTCATTACTTTATTAAATTGCTCAACATTTTCTTAACATTTGTCATAATTAGTTTAAGCAATGAAATTGTATCCGCTCTCGTCGGACTTCGGCTGCATATTTTCCGCCATTTTCTTGAAATCTGAAAACGTTGTGAAGCCACGCCCATTTTCTGAAGAATTGTATTATGGGCCCTAAAAGCACGGAAATAGTGTCCACTGCTTGTATACTTGGTATTTTGGCAAATGTAGTACGACATCCGTGAACTTTTAGCATACTAACTATATCCATACAATGACCAATTAGCATACTACATACTCAATTTATGTCACAACTAATACCATTAGTATGAGTATTCGAACACAGCTTTACTCTTCTTTTGCTTTGCTCTGTTAGTAAGACAATATACTTTTTATATATTGTACACATGCAACAAAACAAGCTAATCAACTGGAGTAAAGCGTTGCCCTAAGGGAACTATTCAGGCCAGGTGTAAACTAGATTGGTCGCTAGTTTGATTACAAAGTAGTAATGCAATGTCGTGACCATTACAATCAATTAGCCAATTCACATTAGTGTAAAGCACCGTAGTCTTATGAAGTTTAAAATTCAAATGAAAGGACAAATAATAGCAACATTTCCTTAGGCAACATCTTCCGTTATGAAAATGTTGTAATTACTGGAAGAGCTCTGTCTCTCGAAGCTATAACATTAACAAGGAGGTTTGCAAGGCAAACCCGGTGTTACATTGAGGACCAAGTTATCTCATCAGTTGAAAATAAGTTTCATTCCTCAGTGCAGCCAGTCTATCAGTGAAGTATTCCACCCAGGCTGGAGTACGAGGGAAGAAGATACACTATCTCTGTTCTTCCCTAGTGCTCAGATAAGACCGGTTACTGGCCGAGGCTACTCCTCCTCTCCCTTCAGTTCTGTGCTCCCACAACCCCACTAGGGCATTCACTGGCGGCTGTATTCCTGTCAAAACTGGTGGTTATTGTGGACGAGCCCAGTGAATAATTGCCGGTATAGATATGGCAGGATGATGATGGACAGCACACCTGACCTGACTCCTCCGCTACCCCAGCCAGAGTTCCCAGAGGGGCCCCTTTGTGAGCGCTGAGGGCAAGCACTCAGGGATTTCACTACTGTGGGAAGGGTGGAGGCAAAGGAAACCCAACAATGAACTAACTGCCTGGTATTGTTTTTCCCTGACCACAAAAAAACAACAGATTGAGTATTTAGCAGCTGGTGTTCAAAGTGTAGGCCTATGATGAAATGCTAGATATTTTCCTTTGTTACATGCAATGTGCACACACACACACCACAATCTCATTTTACTCGCCTGCATGGGCTCAGGAGTTAGGCTATGCTACCCGCAGAAGGAAAATGTGTTTATCTGATGTAACTGAAAAGAAACCACAACGTCTACTGTCTTTCTGCTCCCTAGAGAGGAGTTTAGCTACACAGCACTTCAACTGAACTCCCCACTCTAATCATACTATGCATACCATGCTTTAAATGTTTTACTAAAATGAATCAACAAAGGTGTTACCCCAAAGAAAGCTAACGTGTCAGGTTTGCAGAGAAGGGTGGTTATTCTAGTGAATCTGTTAATTATACACATAGGTGGTAATCATTGCTCCCTACTTGTTTAAATCTTGCCATACAGATTCACTGTGTGTCTGAAAGTACAGTTGTGTTGTAATATGATGTTGCTGATATGGTAGTGTATTGTTTTAACAAATACAACAAGATATATTTTTAGTGAGAATTCTGGAGAGACTTCACAAGATTTTAGTGTGATTTGCCCCTCATACAGATCAGAGTAGCTAGGCATTGACCAGACATGTTTATTCTTCAACTAGATTTACAATACATACAGATTTACGGTCAAACTGACTAGACTAGGACCAGCAACCTTTTAGGTGCTTGTATTCAGTTGTTTATGTTGATGGTTTCTATATGCTTAAACACTATTTGAGGCTTTCTGGACCCTGGATTTGGAAAAATGTTAGCTCAAATATGTTCATATGCAAACATTATTGACAGGATTAATCGAAAGCCAAAGTGATGGCAGCAGAACTGAGAATGAAGCCGTGAAGGAAGACAAGGCATTGTGCCTTGATAGGTGAGAAATGACCCTCATCCACAGGGTTTCATTTGACAATTTATGGGATTCAAATTCCTTGGGGAGCATGGGGCAATTACAACTGGATTGCTTTGATAATTAATTGTATCTCACATTTGACATTAGCTGAAGCCAGGCTACAGACTCCTGTAACAGTGGTTTTATGTTTTCCTCACTCCGTTTCTCAAACTGTCAAGTGAGGGACTGAGTGAAGGCGTACAAGAAAATACTATTGTTGGGCTGTGGTCTTTTATATATTTGTAATCTTCTTTTGATATACTAACCATTTCAACTGAAGGCTGTATTCTTCAAACTATTTATTTAAACGAGGTCGTCAGGATAGGGCAATGTCACCAATTTTTGTATTGTGCATGTTGTTGTGATATTAACCTTAATAAATAGTACTTTCTTAATAAGTCTGGTCATCATTTCTGTTTTCACTAATCATGTTAGGGGTGGCCCTTAACCCTCAACTCATAATGACAATGCAAGTCATACATTTTCTGTTAATTTGCCTTAGTATTAGAAATTCTGCTGAATTGAAATTGCCAATAAGAGTGAATTAAATGAGTAGGTGCGTGTGTGTTACAAAAATACTATTTGAAGGCGCCTCCTGGATATAATGCAGTTATTCATTCAGCCACTAGATGCTGCTGTTGCCTTTCAAATGAGGCCCATTCAGAATGGGTTACAATGTTTCTCCCCCTGTAGGTGTAACAGATGGATGGGCAATCACACTCATGAAGTTGTGAGACTTGCTGTTCCATTTGAAAACCACATACTCACATTGTTCCCTCTGACAGATTAAATCACTATCAGGTTTAGCTCCTAATTGATCCAATTGGAAATATATAATTTATCTTCATGGGGATGTGTGTCTGGCTGAGCTAGTTATAGTACTGTCATTAAGGGTGTTCTAATCTACAGCCCCCCTCCCCCTCTATGTGCCTGCTCACCCTGGTCACATATTCCCAGGCTTTAGTTTGAACTTCCACTACAACAACACAAATACCTATGTTGACATCACATGTCTATCTCCTCTGCCCACCCCTCACAATAAAAGCTGGCTTCTCAAAGCCAAAGAGTAAAATGTATGTGCTGAAATAGCTGGGTGATTTCAACATGATTGAGAGTGTCACGGTCTCTCCATGCCCCCAGGCCTGAAACCTTGCCGTTACCTTTGACCCCACTCTCTCATCTGAGTGTCCCATCAAGAACATTGAGATGGTCTCCTTTTTCCATTGCCCTTACCCAACCTGACGAAGGAAAACGGATACACACCTTTGTGACAAGCTGACTGAACTGTTACCACTATTATGTGTCATTAGTTCCAGATCCATGCACACACTTAAGCTGGTTCAGAACTCCAGCTCAGAGCTCAAGCTCAGAGCTGAGCCAAATCCCCAATCCTGGACCCATATCACACCTACAACAGCACTGGTTTCCTATCAAAGACAGGATTGATTCTAACTTAGACATTCCTGACAGTTTCCAACAGCAGACTCCACTACCTCTCCAGTTTCCAGGACTGAGACAACTCTTTATTCACGACAGAGGTCACAAAGAACCTGATACAACTATTGATTGTATAAAGGATGAAGTGAACCAGGTTTGGCCAGAAATGATCAAACAGCTGATTATCAAACTGTCTGAATGCATCTAAATGCTACAAGAAAAAACATCTTCAAAATCACTAGCCTATGACTTTTATCCGAAATGTCAAAACACAAAGGCATAATTTATTCAGTATTAACTTTACTTGCTCTCCTACAACTTGTTTGCATGCCAGAATCATTTCATGAGCACACGTGAGCAAACTGCACAACACTGGTCCTCAAATGAAAAAATAGAATA